GGGAGCAAGTTATACTTGCAACAACGTCATTTCATAATTAGGTATTTTTTTTTATGTTTATATTTAGTACTGAGATACTGCTTTAAACAAAAACAAAACAACAAAAAGTAAAATAACAAAAATACCGAACCCCAAGGAAAATTCAAAACGGAAAGTCCCTTATCAAACATCATATTTAAAAGCTAAAACACATCAAACGAATCGAAAAGAACTGTCATACTCCTGACTTGGTACAGGCATGTTCTTATGTAGAAAATGGTGGGTTAAACTTGGTTTTATAGCTAGCTAAACCTCTCACTTGTATGAAAGTCGCATGAAATTCCATTTTTACAACTAATATGTCAACAAAGAAAAATAAATGGCATAAAGACAATACATTTAAGGAAAACGAAAGACAAGAATACAAACAATGACCATAGCACAATAACACAATGGCGGGATGTATAAGTACCAAGCCACGACAAAAGGCTATTACGAAAAATGGATTTAACAGTAAAGGTTAATGGTTTACAAAGACAAATAAAAGAACACTATAACACGTAATTAAGATACGTACCTAGAATCTAAACTTTAAGACCATCGTGTATAATTTGTGAAGTTGATACAGAATATTTATCAACAAGGTCTTGGTATCTTCCGATGATTTTTTATTCGAAAAAGGACGGGGCGTTCTTTGACATAACCCTGGTTCATCAACTTTCTGCTCAGACACTGGTGACGTTTGTAAAGTCTGAGTAGCAGCTGCAAGCTCTTGAATACCGAATGAGTTGGGACATGTATATCCCATATGCAGGTAAAGGTGGCATATTGCTACTAAGATTAGAGTAATTGATAATTTCAAAACTAAAATCGTCCCATTTGTCATAGATTTTGGTACTGAGATGACCGCTTATGTCAAATTCAAAGTATAAGTCTAAATATGAGGCGGAGGAAGCCGTGTCTGGAGGATTTATTAATGGAACCAAATTAGAAATGGTTGGATTGTTAATTGAAAGAACATCATCAATATATCTGAATGTAAAAATTAAATGATCTGGCTTCTTTGATCTTCTTGTTTTGACAAGTGTCTGACGGAACTCAGGCTCATATGAAAATAAAAAGAGATGGGCAAGGAAAGGCGCACAGTTCTTTCCCATAGGAATGCCGACATTTTGTTGAAAAACAACTAAAACAAACAATGCTTTTCTGAAATCGGGGATATAGATTAAAAGTGCGACTATCAATAATCTATAAAGGAATGATTCAAGACATTATGTAAACCGAATTAACAGCATACAATTGCATTTACATAATGCTTGAAAATACCACATCTTTTTATTTTCATACATGTAAAAAACAAATTTTCATAAAAACGTGGAATGCGACAACATCTGACATCTCAAAAGTGTCATATATAGTTCGTTACAATGTTAGAAGTTTCCTATGAATATTTTGTAAAACATAGAATGATTTTGTGTGGCTTAATTTATTTAGAGATTCAAATTTATGATTACGTGCATTGATTTACATTTATAAATTATAAAAATGTCAATGGAATTCGATGTATAATCTTGGGGAATATAATGCAAATCTGACAATTAATCAGCCATAATTGATATCAAAACAGTCTGCATGTCATTGATCACAAGACTTTGATCATATAATCAGTAAAAACAATAAAACATGATTCTTTATTCTCTATTCAAATTCATAAGCAATACATTTATAAATTTTAAGTGTCAAAATATTTGTATCGATAAATGAACAATATTTTCAATGCATTGGTTCATTGTATTCTTTCTTAAACTTTATTTCATAACACTAGGATGATCAAAGGTTTATCTATTCTAAGCTTAAATTCCAAATATTATTGTTTGATAATTGTGCTTAAGGAATCCTAATACAATCAAGCGTTTTACTTTAATGTACTACAAAACATAACTTATACCATTTTAGTTTTTTAATATAAAGGTCGTAATGTATTGTCAAGCATTAAAAGTCATTAGTTTCAGCTGGAAAAGACAGTAACATTTTCCAAAACAACTGGTGAACATTAGGTAACTTAAAGACAACAACAGATCTGAATACGACGTTTGATAGAACTGTTAATTCATATATATATACGTTCTATTTTAATCTGTAAAATAAACTGAAGAATACATGCCGCTCCTTGTAAGTGAATTGTTTGAAATGAAAACTAAATGAATAGATACATACAACTAATATCAAATGTAAGACCAGCGATAAAAGTTCAGATTCCGGAGCACCTTACATCACCCCCGATTGTTGATGGGGTTCGTGTTGCTCCGTCTTAAGTTTTCTTTGTTTTTTAGTTTTTTGCCTTGGCATTGTTAGTTTATTTTTTGACTTAAGAGTTTGCATCCCTTTGGTATTTTTCGACTTTCTCTTAACTGGATATATTGGAACAGATGAATACTTTCTGCACCGAAGACTAAAAAATTGCAAAATAACAACAATAAAGCATTTATTTATCATTTACATTAAACAGACTGCCTACTTTTCTCTTTGATGCTTTACTGTTGAATGTTTTGTTAACTTGTTTATAATTTTCACGCCTATACATGTTATATGTTTAAAGACTGTACATAATTCATTGAATTTTATATTACGATGTTTAAGCAGAGAAAAAATGTTCCTAATATATGAACAAAGAAAAATTGCTGCTTTATTAAAACTTAAAACTTTTATTTTTAAAAGGATATATGTTTTACAAAGACTTATTGCTCAGAAGAAATATTTAAACGAATTGTTTGGAAGTATTCGGCATGAGGTACAATCACACTGATTGATGTCAATATATATGTGAATATGATGTTGCCTAGCAGCAATGGTGACTTTTGACTGAGTGTGGATTTGCACGAAGGATAATCCATGCATAGAAGGAGACGCTTACTCCGTCCACGTATCCATTCTCGCTCCTTTTTAACCTTGTTTATCTCTTCCTTATCGGTTTGATGAGATTTGAACATTGGTCAACTTTGATTGTCTTAATTCAAAAATATTTGAATAGCCTTCTTGATCTTAAATAGAGGATGGAACATTATAAAACAGCTTCGACAAAAACAGATATAACTGTCGTATGGATATAAAATTGTTAAATGTCTAGATTGAATAAAGCATTTAATTATAATGCAGAAAAATATCCATCTGAAATCATACAGATACATACCATTGAAATACTAACTATGAATCAAAATTAACTTTGTCCGGTCTATGCCATACGTTAAAAATACACAAAGTGTGATGGCTAAAGTAGCATAACTTGTGAATAGCAAAGTCAAATCTTTTTTATACCAAAGTGGGGCTTACTCTTACAATTCCCCATAAATTGGCCCAAGCATACTTTAACTTGTGACCGACATGTAAACATTATCTAAAATCGGAAGTTTAAAATCCAATGGGTCTAATAAAATCAATTGCAATAAAAATTATTATTTTGTTTTTAAATCAAGCATAAGCCTATACAATTACTCTTACCGATCTAAACAACTGTAGAAAGGTTCAAGTGAAACAATTCTGTCATATTCGAGGAAGTGCGCAAAGTGTGAAAATAAAATGAAGTGGTTTAGGTTTTATCAATTTTTAATGTCAAGACAGACAATTTTCAACATCGAAAAAAGAGCAGGAAGATAACAAGGGGACAATGAAAACTGATAAGTCAAAGGAAAACTGACAACGTAATGGCAATACACGAAAGACGATGAAAAAACAGACCACAAGACAACACACAACAAAACAAACTCTTATAAACACGAATTCCATCAATCTGGGAGGATATCAGGTGTTTCGGAAGGGTGAATAGATTCTGCTTCAGTAGTGGCACCCGTCATATTGCTCATAATTTATACACATTCATTGCTAAGTTTCATTCGGTGCAGTCACTAACGAGAAAAAGAGGATGAAACTATTGTTTCGACAATTGAAATATGACCTTGACCATCTGTAACACAGATTTTCCATAAATGTCAATCAACAATGATGGCGTCGGTAAAAAGCTTTCTTCAACTACATTCAACAACAGCGTAACGTCCTAAGAAAATAAATCAAAGTATACCGGAGTTATATCCAAATACAATGTATTGCATTAACTTGAACGGTAAATATTTTTTTAAATTTGGAGCAACAAACTGACAAAAGTGGTAGCGTTCTTCAACAGATTAGAATATCACATACAAGTGTTATGATATTTGATCAAACCATCCTCTAGTTATTGTACAGATGATCAATAGTATACCCTTAATACAGCTGAGATAGGTTCTAAACTCTTTAAAACTGCTAGAATATTTTATCACGTAACTGTTCTAAGCATTTCAAGAACTGTTCTAACCTAAAACAGTTCTACCCTAGAGCTGTTCTACGGTAGAACTGTTAGAATCAGTTCTACAGTAGAACTGTTTATAAACAGTAATTGATGTAACAACAACATATAGTTTTTTTTAAGAAAAATCTGTGTATTAAAAATTGGATATTTGATGATTTTAAGACAAATCTGTTAACGTTTTTCGTCGATTTTATGTGCTTCCTATGTTCACCTATTACGGAAAATACAACAAGCCAAAAATAAAGGCAACAGTAGTATACCGCTGTTCGAAACTCATAAATCGATAGAGATAAAAACAAATCCGGGTTACAAACTAAAATTGAGGGAAACGCATCAAATATAAGAGGAGAACAACGACACAACAAAAACACAACATTAAAATGTAACACACACAGAAACGAACTATAATTTATATGCAAAATTTTACTAAGATCTGTGACATAACCCATTTACTGTTCCTTGACCTTAAAGCTCGATAAGCTGTTTTTAACGTTCAAAGGAAATGTTTAACCATTACCAGGTTTTGACTGAAGGAATCATTTTTTGTCTTTCATAAAATGCACTAGAATTGCTAAATAATTTATAAGAAGTATTACTGGACAGGCTGATGAGCCAACATTGAAAATGTCGATTCTAGTCAGATTTTATTCCGATGCTCAACTAGTAAGTATAACTTCACTATGTGTTATCATTTGTTTTATTTATTTAAGGTTACTGGTGCATCAGAGACAATAATAACAATGACAATGATAATAAAAATAATAATAATAATAAGAGTTGTTATAACTTCTAAAGAACAAAACATGATATAAATTATTTCATTTCAAACCAATAGTTAGCTTACTAAAGATCAATAATTAACTTAAACAAATTATATTTAAATTGAATAGTTATAAGTGTACACTATATAATTTGAATGGACTTTTTCTATGTTAATTGAAGGCAAGCATTTAAAAAGAAGAGATGTAATTTATTTTTGGGGAAACTCATGAAAACTTGTACAGAAACTAGCCTGTAACATAGTTAATCATGACTATTAACGTTGGAATATTCACAGTATGCCTTTTTCGAAATGATATGTACAAACTAAAATTTAAAAGGAAAAGACCTTAAAACTATTGATTGATTGATAATAAATATAAAAATGAACATTTGATTAATAATTACAACATGATGATTTTAAGTTAACATTTCGTTCATTTTCTTCTTTCTTCCCTACATTTTTTAAAAAGAGGGACGAAGGATACCATCAGGACAGTCAAACTCATAGATCGAAAATAAACTGACAACGTCATGGCGAAAAATAAAAAGACAAACAGACAAATAATAGTACATAAGACACAACATAGAAAACTAAAGACTGAGCAACACGAACCCCACCAAAAAGTGGGGGTAATCTCAGGTGCTCCGGAAGGGTAAGCAGTAAACTGTTTACGTCTTCATAATTTAACTACATTCAACACCAACATCCTCGCTGTGAGCACAGTTATGTGAACCCCAATCTGGATGTAAGCATTCTACTAAGGATGTCTCATATCCATTACACTCCAAATCGTCAAGCCATATTTCGCCACTTCCACCACCAGCAGTATAGAAATTATATGCTGAACTGAAAAAAAAACATATTCAGAGTAATGAGGGTGATAAAAAACGAAATCAAAACATTTTCTTAATCCATTAATATGTGTGAAGTAACACTGATGATAGCCTACTTTAATTTGTAATGAAGTTTTTATAATTCTTTACTACACTATTAAGAATAAGGATGTTTTACCATATCTCTATGAAAGTAATGGTAAAGTCCGGTTTAAATCTCAAAATCAACAAACAAAAACCATTAGAAACATGAGAAATACAAGTACAAAATTCAAATAGATTTTATATTTTCCAACCATGATCGTATATTATTTATCATGCAATTTAACATTGACACTAAAATATTTGAGTTTTGCATGTTCATTGATTTTTGTTGAAAATTGTTGAAAACTAAACCGCGGACGTATAGAGAACCCCCAAAATGAACCGTAATGTATGAATGTAATTTTTGCATTACCTGTCGATCAACAACACAGACTTATTAGTATACTATACTAAGCAAACAATTATTTGCATACCTATATGATCATGAAGATAGAATGCTGGATGAAAGATCAAAATAGTTTTAACAAAACAATATGAAAGTTAAATTACAAAATTAAATTATACCGGACGAAAACATAAATACCTACCATGCGTTGTGTAGACAATTTAAGTTGCCCTTTAAAGCACTTTGATTTTTTCACATATTATAACAAAGCATATTTATTAGGATTCATTACAATTTAATAGAAATGACTTGAAGTTATCAGATATGACAGTTTATTTCGGGTTTTTTATTTGTCGAAACAGTATTCAAGGTATAAGATTTCTTGTGTTAAAATTGGTTCACCAAATTCAATTAAAAAAAAAAACGAATTCCTTAAAAGTTCTGACTAATTGTAAAGTCTTTGGTCAATAACATTATTGGTCCTGATGAAGGTAAATACAGAAAAGTGCTTCGTCCGCAATAGTTTTTTCAACTAATATTTGATATTTTAGCACTGTGTCAATCATGCTGCTGGTGGACTAATAGTTCCCGAGGGTATCATCAATCCAGTTTTTAAATTTTCTGTAAATCATTACGAATTTTTAGAAAAATTAAGCTTCCAACAATAACGGAAAAGTTGATCACACGCGGATTTAGCAATTCTTTTTGAGTCTCTTATCGTTAAAATTCTTGACACATTTATAGATGTGAGCTGTCCTGGAAACACTTCGGAAGCACCGACTTTATTTTGTAAGGCGATCTCATAAATTTATAATTAAATATATAGAAAAAATTAGATCAAAGTAAAAAACTCAAACAGACGCAGAAAAAATTATAAAGTGTTTTTGTTTATTTCTTAAACAGTAGTACTGAAAAGTCACAGATATTTCTGACAGAATTAAGGAACTGGTCAAAAGTACAATCATAATGTTGAAAAGTCAAAACAACAATTAGTATAAAGCACTAAAACAATCAAAGCTGAAAATATATTTTTTTAAGGTAAAATTGTTTTGAGTGTATCCTTTTCAAAATTAAAGGTTGTTACTTTGACTGTTTTTTTTAATTTTTGCATCTAATTCTAACAAAGACTTTGTTTGTCAGGGGAAATCAACAATATTTAAAAACACGAATAACACTAAGAAATGCTTATGTCATATGAGTACATTGCAAACTATTTGTACCTGTAGCCCATCATCCTGCAAGCTACGTTAGCATCATATATATCAAAGCTATCATCACAAACAGTTCCCCATATTCCATTATAGTAAACTTCAAGGCGACCAAAGCTGGAACCTCCCGCTATTCGAACTTCTATAACTATAATTATATTCCATAGTAAAGCAAATGATCAGTATCGTCGTAACTATAGTTATATTCTATAGTATAGCAAATGATCAGTATCGTCATAGCCAAATGTACTATTGAGTAAACTAATTTATTTTAACCTAATTACAACTGTTTTACATATATAAATCTGAGGCGTGTGTATTGAATGTACGAGATATATTTGAAACTCGGAAAATCCCTTGATGTGATCCTAATATACGCATTCATAACACTTGTTCATTACAATATGACCATCTCTGAATGGATAAAAAAGATAGCGACGCATTGTTGACATTCCGAATACAAGACCTTGCGACCAACATGTTATTTGTTTTTATTTGTGTGCATTTACCATTGCAATTGTTGAAGAATAAAAAGAAATGCAACAGATGCCGCATGCAAATAACGCTTTAAAAACTTTCAATGGAAATTTCTATTTTTGCGATACCTATTTCGACGCAATGTTCGCAAAAAAAACATCCAAACCATTTCTGAATATACAGTCTTCACAAAACTGTTTCATTTCATTAATGTAATTGAATATTACTTTCTCTTGATATTTGTATGCGAGTGTTTAATACAGATGTTAGATTGTGTAAAATGTATATCCTTTATACGACACCCCAACCTTTTTGTAATTGTTGTCAGGGTGACCTATAGATGTCTAGTTTGCTGTTTCAGGGATGTATTTACCTTGGATTTTTTTTAAAAATTCATATTAAAAGTACCAACTATGTGAAATGAGATAAGTTTTACCTTTCCTTTAAATATATTCATCTTAATGGTCATTTTTTTTTCAAATTATCAAAATGTACAAATGCGGTCCATGACCTCATTCACTCTGTTTTCAAAAATGTGTTTGATTGATGATAATTGGAATTTTATTACGAGTGATATTAAAACTATTTTTATCATTCAATTCTTTGACATTTCGCTGATAACAAAATCTTGAATATATTACAGTACGTATAATACCTTCTTCTCTACAATCCACACCAACATCTTCCCCGTGATCACAGTTGAATGTACCCCACGGCAGGTGCGCACAGTCAAATAGAGTGAATTCATTTCCGATACATTGTAGATCATCAAGCCAAATTGGACCACTTCCATCTCCAGCTGTAAAAGGCAGTCCGTATGATCTGAAAACATTAATTTCTAGAGTAATATCTGAATAACATTTCAGGCTGTCCATACTTACTGTACGTCTTCTTTTTTATAATATTTATTTCACTTACTGCAATGATTTGACTATTTATCTGTATTCTTAAAGATATAAACTAGTTTATGTGTCTATGTGTGTATTAAAGATATTCGCTAAACGAAACCATTTAAAATCATCTTCTGTTCAAATAAAAAAAAAAAAAACAAGTTGTATCTTACCTTTGAACATTTTCCAAAAATCAATGCTAATAATAGGGCCAAGTCATATGTTTGTTTCATTATGTTTAAAAAAGGAAGTATCTAAGTAAAAGGCGGAGAAATAAGTACCTCAAGCCTAGAGCTAAACATACTACTTTGGCTTCATTTCGACCAAAATCATTGTCACAAATAGTTCCCCATTGACCATCATGGTATATCTCTAACCTGCCCCTGTCTACGTCTGACCCAACTAATCGTACTGGAAAAAAAAATAAACTGTTTTGATAACTGAGTAATAATTAAAACAAGTACTTGTCATAATTACACTATATATGATAAAGTCTCTAATACTATCAATTATGTGTATATGTTTACAAAACAAAATATACAGTTTATTATTCTGATAGTATGTTGATAATGATAGGATGTGAATAACATCCTGCAGACATTTACGTTGTTTTCAATGTGTTTATGGTGAAAGAGTAGATTTGGCAAAAAATTAAAGGCTTTTGATAACTAGAAGTATAGACCGTGGAAAGACCGATAATTAATTAAACTATAGGGAATACGAAATTAACTTATTATAAAGGATACTGGCCAGCATTCACATTTCAGGCATCATACATTTTGGCATTGATGAAGATTACACAATGCAATGTTCTGTTATCAACTTTTCTTTAGCTAACACATTATCATTACATATACGATGCCCTTGCAATGTGTACACATAATGTCATATTACTAAATGTTCCAAATACGTCATGAAGCCTGTCTAAATTAACACCAATACTTTTTTAACCGCAAGAATAAGTTGATGTTTTTAGGTATTATCTTACAAGACAGTAAACTGGTTGATCATATCTTGAGCGTTGCATTTGAAAGAAATGATATGACAGACACATGTACAGATAAGTTTTTAATTTCTTGACGTACCACAAGAGATTGATTGTGATAGTAGTTTGAAAATGAATTTCAAATAAGTTAGTTTAAACTTTCCATATTTGTGTAGCTCCTCAAACGTACAAGGAAGCTATAGAACCAAGATTTTGCAATAGAAAGTTGCTCATATGAATGAAGGCAGAGAATACCAAAGTGACACAAAAGGCTCATAACTCCAAGAAAAAACCGACAACACGACCATGGTAAAAAAAGAAAAACGGACGAAAAAACAAACAACGGTTTGCAAAGCAATGCATAGAAAACTTAAAACTGCGCAATTTTGAAACAATTTTATGTCTAAGGACTTGAATGTGGATTTTACGAATTTCAAAAACGCCTCTAGGAGAACATGCAATGATAGTTCCTCTACTCATGCAGGTCCTTCAAACCGGAATTCGTGCCTTCAAACCGGTATTCGTGCCTTCAAATCTTTTTTAGGCAGCAAACTAATCTGATTGACCGTCAAGAAAAGTCTATACAACAGATAATAGTCACCCACCTTCCTTTGTATCCCCTAGTTCGTATTGTATTAATAATGAAAAACGCATAGGTGCAAATAATACACAAATAACTGTTCCACTGTCCGGATCAACATATTTTGATCCTTCTTCTGTTTTTATCCTCTTTTTTTTGGTCAGTGTAGTGAATTCCTTTGTCTGATGCTTTTTTAATTGGTTCATAGCATTATCTTACTTTTTCAACAGTTGTTCGAAGTTTGGGATATAGACTTCAAGGATGATGTGAAAGGAGACGGTAAGTACCAGGGGTAGATGTAAAATTCTAAAGGCGAAGAGACAGTGACAATGCCAGGGCAAAAACGAAAGACGACGAAAAGACAAACATGTCTACAAAACACTACATAGAAAACAAAAGATAAAGAAATACGAACCCCAACACAAACTGGGAGGATCTCAGGCGCTTCGGAGTTATCATATCCTGCTTCTCTAGTGGTACGTTTGTTAGCAGTCTGTGTGTTGTTTTTTTATTTATGTTCATTATGCAGTACATTAAAGGAACAATTTATTTCATAAAACACTATTTATCTCATTTCACTAACTCAACTAAAATAAAAGCTATGTATATGTATACTCATCAATGATTGTGATTTACACCTGGACCTAACCTAATGATTTAGAATTCAGATTCATAAATTCAGTTACAAATATGTTTTCCGGACTTCTGGTTAAATGTAAGCAGAAAATAGCAGTCGGAGTAAATAATGTAAATGCTTAACTACGAATAATATCTTAGTCCGACAAACATTTTTTTTTTATAAATAGTGATTATAAATATAATGCATATCTTTGGAAAAATTTGTAGAAAATTAAAACTTCAGACCTCCTCTACAATCAACTCCGACATCCTCTCCGTGATTACAGTTGTGTTGCCCCCATTCGGGATGCATGCAGTCTGTTAAGGATAGTTCATTTCCATCACAGGCAACATCATCAAGCCATATTGTATCAGAATCCCGTCCGTCTCCTGCTGTATATGGTGGTCCATATGAACTGTGAACAGACATACGTTTGTAACATAGATATTATTAGATAAGATAACTAAAACCAGTTACAAACTTTCAAAAAATTAGAACACTTGACGGATACAAACATGTGCATGCGTTTGTTTAAATCTGCTATGTATTTTTTGTATATATTATTTTTTTGCTTAAATAAAACAAAAAAATAACTATTACACACTGTGCCAAGCATCAAGGTCCAACCAAGTTTATTTTTTGTAAGGACTTTTTGTCATGCCACTGATCTACAGAAATTGATTGAACCTAAATAATGAGCACTTATCAGTCCCAATGTATGACTGTCGTCAGTGTTTTTTAAGATAAATCTGATTGATTTTATTTAATTTGATTTAACCTTACAACGGTTTGATTCAAGCACCAGGAACGAGTTCTTTGTAGACAAAACGAATGTCTGGCATGTCTGGTGTATTATTTCTAACGTCGGGTATCTTGAATGATTTTCTGTGTATCCTTTCTCTGTTGATAATTTGTTTATCACAGACCATAGCAGTCTCTATTACATTTATTCACAATACGTCTACACATCACGCAATTAAGAAATCTTTCTATCATTTAAAACTTTGCATTAATAACTGTTTCTCATTTTGAAACTCAATCTTTTAAAAAGGAAAACTCAAATGAACTTTATGATATTGATAACCTAGTCTTGTTAGCTTTCTTTAATATTTTTTCTGACAATTTCAATATAACCATAAACTAGCATATATTATTCAAAAGAATTTTCTGACTGAATAATTTAATTTGGATTACATACTTCAGCGTTTGATTTATAATGAGGAACTGTATCTATGAAGGATGTATTCTTCTGATGTTTCAGTCTCATTGAAATCTCGTTCGGGAATTATTTCCACAGTATGCGATACAAATGGAAAATGTCAATGAATTTAAAGAATTTTATAATCAAACTGTGAAAAAATTGTGTACTTACAATAAGTATTTTTTCAGTAAAAAATTTTCAAAGTTTATAACCAAGCCGTCAGTCTCATCAGCCACAATGTGGAGAAAGTAGGTGAGGGGTACATAGAAATGATTTACCAAAATTATGTACATCCCATATCAATTTTTTTCTTTTCAAAAATCTTAAATATGTATTTGTTAAATAATTTTTAACAAAGAAGTTGAAATAATACGCTTTTTGTTCTAAAAAATAGAGAAAAATCCCAAATTGACGAAATTGACAGCATGGTCAATTTGACACAAAAAAGTAACAATATTTTATAAAACTTTCTTAAATTAACACCAACCTATAGTTTTTTAAGTTAAATTTATTCAGATTAGTCTACTCCATCTTTAGTGATAGTTTGAAAAAAAGTTTACGCGTGAAACTGTGATTTTTTTCATGATAATAGCCCAAAAATGGGTAAAAATTGATGAAAAATGGGAAAATCATTAAAATTTGGTACTTTCAAAGGGCCGTAGCGAAAAACAAAGTGCACAACTATATGATTTTTTTGTGCATCAATTACTTTCTTACAGTCATATCAGGTTAAGAAAAAAAGTTTAATTCTAGAAATTTGTGGCTTCTCAGAGGTGTACATCTTTAAAGCGTATATACTATTTTCCATGCTTTTTGGAATTAAATATGTATAAAATGCATATTTAGTTTTTCCTAACGATTCGATTAATCATATGTTGTTTCTTAAAAGCTCAATTCTTACCTGAAACCTAAAGCCATGCAGGCCACTTGTGCGTCCTGGGCGTCAAAATCGTCATCACAAACTGTTCCCCATATTCCATTATGATAAATTTCTAATCTGCCCTTTTCAAATTCAGAACCTATCAGTCGAACTATTTGTATGCAATTTAAAATTAAAGTTATTCATACAGTGTTATTATCACTCCGTTTAATGGAGAGACAGAATATAACTCATTTAATGAAAAAAAGTAAATAGTTTTGCGGTCAGTTATGAATAAAACAGCTTATTTGTTTCTCAAACAACTAACAGAATAGCAATACACTCAACTGGTGTAATTGAAAATAATTGCATTACATAGAAGTTTTATACGATTCTGAAATTATAATTGACCAACGCATTCAAAAGTTATATCTTATATTCGTTCAGAATGCAACATATATGACTACACATTCTCTCTGTAACAACATTGAAACAACGCATAGAAACACAAACGAAGGGCTGATTTAACTCGTAAATTCTTATAGCATGCACGTGCAATTATGATATAAGAATGCTTTTTTTGTAACTTTATGCGTTGAACGTGTGCAACTTTAATTGCGTAGCTTGTTTCAAGAATTATAAGGTTTCGTCATGAACAATAGTATCTTGGAAAAAAGTTGCATCTAAGTGTTCTATATACAGGACAAATTAACACACAATTTTATTCATGTTCCGTATTGTTCATATTACAATACCTTAAACAACGATTGTCTATGTCATATATTAACTACATATAAATAACATATTTCATGTCTTAAACGGCAGATTCAAATAGGATATTTTTTTTATTATTTCAAATAAATGTCTAATAGTTTAAAGTCATATGAAATTTCAAATTTAAAACAAAAGTTGAACATGTTTTCCTCTAAAAGAAGTAAACGTGAACTTTTTTTTAAAAGAAGGTCCTTTATATTATCAACATCTTCATAAATGTACCAATATTGAATTATTGACTTCCCAGACACTAATTCGCAGATATTTTCCCGTATGCAGTGACCTTAACTACGAGACCTTTCGTTATAACTTCGGCCACCGCACAGCGCAAGTGCAAGGGGAAAACAGTAATGAAAGAATGTAAACACACGTGCTCTTGAAGGTAAATAGGAATAAGAGATTCTTAAAGAACAAATTTAATACAACAAATCATTTAACAACTGTTAAGGAATGATTTAATTAACAAATGGGAGCACATGGACAATATAAAAACAAATGTCATGACTCTTTCAATTCACTTATCAGTCACGCTTTCCACGTGTTCTGTTTTTATTGTTTATCAACGGCACGATCCGGAAAACTTGGACAACAAACTCGAAAGTTAATTAGCTTGCGATCAACAACCACTGATATTATTTGTCGATAATACGTTATAGATGTGTAATAAATATTAAAAAAAACGTGCATGCAAGACGTAGTTTAGTATATATAGATATAGGAAGATGTGGTATGAGTGCCAATGAGACAACTCTCCATCCAAGTTACAACTTATAAAAGTCAACCATTATAGGTCAAGGTACGGCCTTCAACACGGAGCATTGGCTCACACCGAACAGCAAGCTATAAAGGGCCCCAAAAAATTACTAGTATAAAACCATTCAAACGGAAAAACCAACGGTCTAATCTATATAAAAACGAGAAACGAGAAACACGTATGAACTACATAAACAGACGACAACTACTGTAATCAGATTCCTGACTTAGGACAGGTGCAAACATTTGCAGCGGGATTAAACGTTTTAATGGTACCAAACCTTCTCCCTTTTCTGAAACAATAGTATAACATCACAACATAGAAAAACACACTATAAAATATCAATAGGAAGGCTTAACGCAATCAAAAAAACGTAAATTAACACACAATGAACGAATAAACTTGACTTGTGACACCTGAATGCAAATACACAGTTAATAAAAAATCACAAGGGATAAATAATTAAAGTCAAAAGAAAATAAACAGGTTTAAACAAAGTTAAAGTATGATATCACTGTGAAATTTCAAACAATTTATAGAAAATCATCACTTTTGAAGAAACCTGCGTCATATTATACACAGGTAAATGAAAATAATTTTGTTGTTAAGTATACTTCTTCTATTATTCTTCTAATTTCCATAACATTAAAATTTCAAGAAACTCGTTCCATATGACTTTAAGGGTTATTGAATAAATTTTAAATATAGCTGTTGTATGTTTTTACAACAGTGGTTGCTGGATCCCAATTTTTTGTCATGTTAACCAATTATGACTGTTTGGGTTGCTCACACTATTTATGTCAATATAATCAACTGTCTTACAAATTGGAAGTTTAGCTAGCTGTGAAATCAGGTTTAACTAACTATTTTCTACAGAAAATGCATGTAATAAGTAACAAATCAGGAATATGACAGTTTTGTTTCCAGTTGTTTCGTATGTTGATATACTTGGCCTTTTGGTTTAGTAAGTTTTTATGAATTTTCCTGATTTGATATATACCTTGGAGATCAGTCTTTGTTTTTGTAAATACCCTTTCAGAACTTTTTATAGAAAAACAAATATAAATTATTTTCGAAATGTACTTTGCAGGCGTGAAATGTCTCTTGTATTTATGATCGAATGTAAACTTTCTGCAGTTGCTATACCTGCTATGGAAACATGGTAAAGATACTTTGAGAATTGCTCAGATAATTTTCCATTACTATTCAATGTCTTTCAAGCGTTATCATACACATGGGAATAAGATCAATGATTTTAACGTTTTCTTAAAAATGACTTTCCTTTTCAATCTACAATGTTAAAGTTGAGATTTTCGTTTTTTATCTCAGAATATTCTTCTTCTTCTAGTATGTTTTTGAAGTATGTGTTGAAGACCCATTGATGTTGTCTTTTTGACATATTCCCGTTTCCATTCTTAATTATTATTTAATATAATGACCCTCATTGCGAACACTATCACATGCGTATTGACATAATGAATCAAATTGTACAATCACTAAACAATTACCCTCACTGATGTCTGCTGTATATGATGCATCGAATCCGATATTTGTTCCACTGCTGTCTGTATGAAAGTGAAGTAACATCTTATTGCCTGTTGACCTTAATCTATAGTTTGTATAATCTCCAAATAATTGCCTTATCATTGGATGATCTTCAGTATCTCCGTCAAAAACCTAGTGATATTTAAAAACATAAGCAGATATGCATTTGAGGTTTTTCGCTTAAACATCTTATCGAAGAAGATGAATTGATAAAACAACTGGTATTTAAACATGCAAAAAGTTACCTGTGTGCACTTATCGTTTTATTAATACAAAGTGAATAAAATGCAGTATACCGTATTTTCATCATAGAATCGTTATGTATATGGCTTAATTGAAAACATCATCCAAATGTCAGTACTACTAATTACTTGATTCATACAATGGTAAATGATTCATGTATTATTAAACTTTCGAAAGACTGAAAAACATAGGTAAACTAGAATATTTACCGTAAGATAATCATAGCCAGCGGCACCAAAGTGAATTTCTTTCAATATAATATTTATAGCATAATTTATTGGTACTGTTATGTAGTAGTAACAATCTACATTGTTTGGATACTCATCGGGATAGTTAGATGAGGTAAATGATCCCCTCAGATCTGAGTAGTGGCCTCCACAGTCTGTAAAAAGAATTATGTTTCCAGCTATATTTTTCTCTTGAATTTGCTCTCTGAACTTTTCCCTTCCCTATTACAATAGACAATAATAAAAAGTAAATCTCAACTTTAATTTTAGTAATTTTTCTTAAATAATGTCTCCTGTTCCTGGCACGCTTTACATGTTTTATGCAATATCTTTCTTGGCCAGGATGATAGATAGAAACCATGTCTTTTGTTTTGACAAAATACTTCAACAGATATACTGACTAAATACTATATACTAAGGTACGTTATGAATGCATATTGCAGCATTTAGAAGTCGTCTGAAACATGGTGCGTGATGTTGTTGAGGTCGACTAAAGTTTCATAATAATGTAACACAAATAATCTTAACCAAACCTGACGTCAAAGCTATATAATGAGCACGAAACCCAGAATCTGTGACACCGACATCCGACTGGAAATGAACCAGCATGAGTTCACCCGTGGATCTGACAATACTTTCCTCTGGAACTGTCCCACGCAATTGAAGCAGTGTTTGTTGGTTTACGGAATAACCATCATATACCTATAATGAAAAAAATAGATATTTGACTGATAACTTGATATATATGCATGTTATATAATAGTTCAATTGTTGAAGATGTGCGATTGAACACGTAGTACATACATGTACAACAGTTATATAAAAGTATTCTTTTTGGAAATACCCGATTGAACACGTGTTATGTATTCAAGTTATAAAAAAGTGTTCACTTGTTGGACGTATATTAATTTTCAACCTTTCTTATATGTTTGTTTCTTTTTAGAAAGAAGGGGATACTAATTAAAAAAATAAAGATCAAAGCCAAAGAAGCAAACCACACCATAGCAAACAAAAAGGCAAAACAATGTTAAAAAAACTTAAGATTAGAAACACAAAACCCACCGCACTCTCATATACGATTAAGACACATACTTGTTATGTAGTAGCTGCAAACAACGATATATAAGTGTGTAAATAATTAACAATCTTTATTTATATATATATATTTTGTTTTTTTTTGGGGTGGCATATTTGTACAGCTGATAAACATGATATCCAATTTCTTAATCGAGTACTGAAATGATAAAGACGTTTAGAGCCTTTAATCACGAGCTCAACTAGCCCTATTCAAACTTTAAACTCACCTCTTTAATAGGAAAAGATTGGGTAATATGGTGGATTTTATAACAAAAAAAAATCATTGTATTCTGTAAATTTAGCAAATGAACAGTGATTCAGGTCAAACAAATATAACATAAACTAACAAACGTTGTTTTGACAACAAAATTTGTTCGAATAATTCAGTAATTGATAAGTCATATAATGCGTTTGGATAGTACCTTATCTCTATTTTTGCTGTTTATTCTATTTTGTTTCAATGTGTTCATATGGTGCAGTGATTAAGAAATTTTACTCACAGCTAAATTACATCATAAAGGGTCGCGTATTTGAAGACTTTTTCGTGATCTCTGTTGCGTTTCATTTTTGTTTTGTTTATGATATGTTCTGTTAATGACCGTGTACTATATCTAAATCAAACGCTCTAAGTATATCTAAAATTCATGTAACTCTCAGACCCAAGTAATATACCAACTTCCAACGAATCACAACAGCTTTCCGTTTTGAAATCTTCCACGATGAGTTGAGGAATATGATCTGGTGGTGCACTGATTAAATAGTAACAGTCAGCATTGTTCGGATAATCATCAGGATGGTTAGGAGAGGTAAATGATTCTGTCATGTTTGTAAAGTAGCCACCGCAATCTGTTTGTAAAAAGCGTGATCTTATTTTTAATATCGTTTATTAGCATATCCCATATCAAACAATTGGAAAGCTATATGAGCAGTATAGACAGCTCCTTTTATTTATAGTGAAGAAACTTGACATCAACAGGTACAATAGCTTAAATATGGCAAAATTATTAGCAATATTTACAGGAACTACAGTTGCAAGGTTAATCAGAATTAGTTTTGGTCATTTTCTTATTGAAATAGCTCAATCAAATAGGGACGTTTGAATTTATGATTGATTTTGTATGGAAAATACTGTAAACCAAGATATTTCCTTGAGCGATTAATTGTCGCTTCTTTTTCGAATAAAAAAATAACGCGAATATAAATCGTCGCGAATATGTTAAAATTCGATCTTCTCTTGTATTAATATATCAATGAAATTAGAACATCGCGAAAATAAATCGCCGTGAAGTAGAATAGAAACGACTAAACGCGAAATAAAGTATCCGCGAAAATCAATTGGTTTACAATAAAAGAAAAGTTAACTTACTGTATAATAGCTGGAATTTACATAAGTGAACTGAATAATACAAGTTTACCTTTCTTTCAAATTAATTAGTGATAACTTACTAGGACTGAATGCAAAATAGTACGCTTCAAATCCTGAATACGCTCCACTGTATGATGTACTAAAATGCACAATGAGTTTATTCTCTGTTGATGTTAATATTTTATTGGAACCAGATTGCTGCGATTCGAACAAGGTATAGCGTGAGTTCAAGAGCCAATCATAGACCTATTTAACATAAACATTGATAAAATATCATAGAACACTTCTTTTTCTAAATTATTCCGTCTCCTGCAAGGAGAAAAATGATATGGACCATTTAAGACAGGTCAACTAAGCTGTGATTGTTTTAGATATAACAAAGGAAACAATTCCAATGCATGCTTAATTAAATTGACTGATTTATGATTTCCAACAAAGATAGGATTAAGATACAAATTTGTAAAGAGCCATGTGGAAGTACTGCTTGTCTTTGTGTCCGTGGTTTTTTTCATACAATGAAACATGTTTAAAACCGCCGCATTTTTTGCGCCTGTCCCAAGCCAGGAGCCTCTTGCCTTTGTTAGTCTTGTATGTTTTTTAATTTTAGTTTATTTATATGCTTTGGAGTTTAGTGTGACGTCCATTTTCACTGAACTGGTACACATTTTTGTTTTGGGGCCGGCTAGGGTCCGGAAGGGATTTTCTCGCTGTGTTGAAGACCCATTAGTGGCCTTCGGCTGTTTTCTGCTCTTTGGTCGGGTTGTTGTCTTTTTGACACATTCCTCATTTCCATTCTCAATTTTACTTTGAACAAATTTACATTATAAACGTTAATACATTATATGTATTGATTCGTTTTATTTTCAATGCTTTGAAGTTAGTGTTTTGTTTTTCATTTGATTTCCTGTAAAATATATAGAATAAAAGAATTTATTTGCTTTATTTTCGACTGATTTGTACCTCGGTATTTTGCAAATTTGGTGAGAAAAAAAAGAGTTATGTCTAATACATTTCATCATTCAAATGATTGTTTTCATAACAAATAGTAAAAAAGCTACTGATAAATAGGATACGCATCTTTTTAACCAGCATTTCAACTATATAAATAAATACATTTTGTACCTAACCGTTCATGACTGAAAGCATTAAGTGTATTAAAATTTCAATAATACATACATGAAGCAAATATTTGTACACACGTATATAGCATCCTCTTTTATATCAGGTTGCGACTTGTATCAAATGTTTTTGAAGGTGATAAATGTTTGTATGTACCGGGAACTGCTAAAAGGAAGGCGAAAACCAAAGAGATTTTCAAACCCATTAGTAGAAAACAAACTGACAATACCATGGCAAAAAAATAAAAACGAGGGTGATCTCTCAGGTGCTCCGGAAGGGTAAGATAATCCTGCTCCTGTTGACGAATCCGTAGAAAGTAATGGAATATATCATACTTGAATACAATGTATTTATATATTTTTTATAATAGTTTTGAGCGTATATATCTGCTTTAAAGTTTCCTATTTATATGTTTGTTCTAATTATTTCAACTTGTTATATAACACATACCGTTCAAAATCTTTTGATTTTGTTCAGGCGACAATAATGTTAGCAAACGAATACTTCCCGGTTGGAATACTACTATAGAGTTAACTTACGCATAAATACTAACCAAACCATGCAAACGGCGTTATTGTTTAATCCAAAAATATCATGTAAATGTTGGATAGGCGCCCTATACTTTTTGTCATTTCAAAGCAACTTTACTTTAATTGCAATCGACATTTAAGTGAATGCATATAGAGTGTACATCTGTATGGAATATATGTTCCTGCACAAAGTTGTATATAATTGTTTTCATTATATTCAAGATACTCACAACAATCGAGTCACAACAACTTTGGAGTTGATAATCTTTCAGAATTAGCTGAACGAAATATCCAGTTGGTACTGTGATGTAATAATTACAATCAGCATAATAATTCCAATTATATGGATAACTAGGGGAGGTAAATGTCCCTGTCATGTCTGCGAAATATCCACCACAAGCTGTAAAAGCACATTGAAGAACAGCATATCCAGTACGTTATATATATAACTTTCAGTAAAAATCAATCAATGCAGACAAGACAAACACATAAAACATAAGCAGAATTAAGAATATGGAATACTTTTGTTGGTTTATTAACCAAAGTTATTTGTCAGTTATTGTTTTAACGAAATTTAATAAAAAGACAGTTTCAGTTTTCAATTTCATATTTTCTCAAATATTTCATTACGGTATTTGTACGGTCCACACTTAGAATCTGATTATATAAATTACTCTGCTTACAAGTATTGGTGAAGCATGCATAATTTATTCATCAGACAGTGAGTTTTTCAATTTTCAAATTTTAAGCCTTGATATATTACTTACATGTACTAATGCTATAATAATATGCCTGGAATCCTGAGTCCGTGATGCTGGAGTCTGAGTGGAAGTACACGAGCATGACATTTTGTGTTGATACAGTTGCTACGTTTGAATGCGAGCCCCTTAAATCTAATAGTAACGGTTGGCCATTTGTATGTCCATCATAAACCTGTTTGACAAGATAGCATTACATGTTCAATATGTTTCAGTGATTATTGACTTTAAAATGTACCAAACTCACACAGTTGTTCAAACGCAAGACATTAAAAAAAGCTCATCAAAGATACCAAGCATATAAGTGTGTACTCCAGACATGCGTTTCGTCTACAACAAACTTATCAGTGACGCTCGAATCAAAGAAGCTAACAGGACTATGAGGAAACAGTTATCGATTAAAGGTGTTTTTTGCTTTTGGTCATTAAAACCTCACGTGTTTAAATACTTATATATTTCTTTTCAAAATAAGAGTGTTTTTTTTACTTATTAGAATAATTTCTTGATAAAATATGCGAAACCAAAAACATAATAGATTAAATGGTTTAAGTAATGAGTTTTAAAATTGTCTTCAGGTAAAGTCAGGACTCTGGACATTTTCGTAAGTACGTAGCTGTACACCTTTGATTACCGTCAATGGTATTACTACAACTGAGTCGATACCTCTGCTAGTATACTGTTAGTTCCCGAAGGTATCACGGTCCAAGGTGCCGGTACTGTCATGAAAATAAGGATATTGTTTGATTGGAAGTCGTTGTTGATATATTGTATAAATCATGTAGAATTAAAGAATATATCTTCCTTATGGAAAGTTCTGATTTCTACCGCCATTTTTTGTTATTCAACTCTTCAACGTTTGTATTAGGTATTGGATTTTGCTTCGACCATCACTGAAAGGAGCTTATTTATCGGAAAATACATTTGGTGCAGTAACATCGATACCGTTAGTGTTATATGAATATATTTTCCATTATGATTTCATTATTTCAAAGAAATGATAAAAAAAGTCAAAATGATAGAAAATTACATTGCATTTATACATCTCCAGTGCAAAATAAACAATACAAGGGTACTTAAAAGACACACATCGAAAAGACATAATGTAATTTACTTACCTTAAGATAATCACAACAGACTTCTGCTTCAAAATCCGTCACTTGAAGGTTTACAACATATCCAGAGTCCACTGTGATGTAGTAAAAAGAGTCCGCCCGATTAGGGTAGTCGTTTGGAAAATTTGGAGAATGAAGAACACCAGTAAGGTCACTGTACTGTCCACTGAAAACTTTGGTGACATACAAAAAACATAAAACAAAATACACGAATTTTGCTAACCGCAGCGTACCAATCTTCTGCATTGTTTAGATACATAGCTTCAAGTTAATGACATGACTGCATGTAGATTAATCGTTATGTCAGTAATAACAATTTTTATTAAAATAGGTAGAATTATAAGAAAGAATAAATATCCATAGTGGATATATAAAAACAAATGATTTGGGATTGAAAACAATGTGTAGAAAAAGTCGGAAATGAAAACAATAGTCCACAAGACAGTACACAATAGTAATCAAAAGATCAACTTTGCATAGAAAGTATTAATATCACTGTACGAAAAGTAATTGATTTAGTTGGTTCTAAAGTATTTTAATGATTATTTAGTGATATTTTTTTCTATCACATTATTTCAAAGTATGTATCCATCCAAAAAAAAAATTAAAGTCATAAGGTCATTATCATGTCACAACAGTGGATAAACTAATAATTAAAAGCACATGGTAAATCCTTTATTCAAAAGAGCTTATGGGAGGAGCTAATCTATCAACCATATGCTGGTACCAAGTGTCCAGCTGTTGATCTCTGACCACAATATGTATAATGTGGCCTCATCTTATTATTTTGCAATCACAAATCATTTATATAACTATAAAGCTAAACAAAGAAAAGAAAAACATGTTGAGGGAAACATTTAAAGTTAAAACATATATAGATAGATATAAATGTGTAAGAGTAGCTTTAAACAACCCTTATAATAGATAAATCACTTTGATAATAGTGATAGTATTTGTTTCCCCAAAACTTGTAAAAATTCTTTTCTTGGGTCTCCTACATTAAGTTGATAAACATGCCTTCTGTTTATAAAAAAGTTTAGGCAGTTGTGTATTTATGCATTATTTTTTAATTCCGTATACCTAAAACATCACGAGGGACAGTCTTTTATCTATCTGACTTTTTATGATTACTGTACAATGTGCATGCGTTGGATAAATTCATAGAGATATATACAAATAGTGCCAGAAATATATACTAAACATAATTTGTAAAGGACAGTTAGTAATATGAAAATATCTGTAATTGCATATGTTATAAGAATCTATGTCCTAGGTTATTTCACAGTACCGTATATTTTAAGTATGAATGATGATTATTATTTTATAGTGAGAATGATCTTAAATATTGATTATATGCAGATAGGCACTCTTAACATTATTTTATTTAAGACTGTCTTGACTGGGGAGGAGCTTTGACCATATTTCATAACTACATTACAGATATTAGTCAAACCTGTGACGTCAAACTCCCGCCAAATTATAGTGTTGTTAAGGGATGGACAGTGCACAATAATGCAAAATTTACAGTTTAAGCGTATATAAAAGACACAAACGGTGTGGTTCTATTGATACACTATAATGGTATCAGAACACTCCTGTGGTGTTTTAGAGGAATTTGTCTGTTTATTTTGCATTCATATTGGTTCAAAGGGGATATCAAGTTTTAGATGATTTTTCTTAATATTTTTTCATAAGTTTTGTTATCATAAAATAAAAATAGAAACTTTATGGGTACCCTCTTTTGTTTGGCTTTGATATATGTGATTAGAGGAAGTATGTTCTACAAAACAATATCCCAGTTTTTGCTAAATTCGTTATTAAATACATTTACAGGTCTTCAAAGGTGAAAGGTGAAATTAGGTATGGCACTAAGCAGTTTAATCAATATATCTTCTAACCGGAGGCATATATAAAAATAATCTGAGACACGGTTTTGTAGCTTTACATTTTGGAAATAATTTTTCATTTATATAGAATAGTGTTATTGATGCATATTTTTTTATACTGACTTTATCAGCAAGAATATCAAGCAAGCACACAAGTGCGAACTAATAATCGAGCTAATGAAGTCAGTATCAAAAATAAATCCCATTATTCTCTTTATCGGCAATTTCTCTTAATAATATTTTTTTTTGGAGAATATGAAATAAAATAGATTAGTTAGTTAAACTACATTTACGCGTACAAAACGTTGTGATAGTTGTTCGGTTGTATGAATGAAGTCGAGTGCATTTCATTGATAAATTGACACGGATGGACATAACCATTTGACGTTGCTGCACTGATACGTGGCGTCATTGCCTAATATTTTCTAGTATCAAGTCCTGTCCATGATCTAAACAAATATTAGGAAGTAGGATCAAAGAAAAACTGTACAAACTGCCGATAAAGAAATATATCTCCCTCATGCATAGCTCTGATTTTTTTTCCGGATTTGCCTATACGTTAGGTCCTGTTATTTGGTTTGATCCGCACTTAAGCATTTGTATTAGATTTTTTACATTCAAATATTTTGGCCTTAAGCATCATTAAATAGACATTATTTGTCAAAATGCGCATTTGTTGTAATAAAATTGGTACCGTTTATGTTATTGTGTGTTGTCAATCAAAAGGATGCAAAAAATATTTAACTTCCATTTGTCAAGAATATGAGTTATTTTCTTTTAAATTTGAAGATCAATGTTTGGCAGTTAATCAGCTATATTTTCAATGGTAATACCAAAAATAACGTTTAAGAAAGTGTAATAATTCAGCATTCCATTGAGTTGTTTTAGTAAAATGTATCGTTAAAGACTATTTTATGGAGTCATAGTTACGCTGAAGCGCTACTTTAAGAGGCCAGCAACTTACACCCCTCCACCCCACCCACCCACCCATAAAAAACCAACATAACATTTTTATGCTAATGGCAATGATATATTTTATATACATCCAATGAAACTAAAAATAAAAAAGAAGATGTGGTATGATTGCCAATGAGACAACTCTCCACAAGAGACCAAATTACACAGAAATTAACAACTATAGGTCACCGTACGGCCTTCAACAATGAGCAAAGCCCATACCGCACCGTCAGCTATAAAAGGCCCCGAAATGACAATGTAAAACAATTCAAACGAGAAAACTAACGGCCTAATTTATGTACAAAAAATGAACGAAAAACAAATATGTAACACATAAACAAATGACAACCACTGAATTACAGGCTCCTGACTTGGGACAGGCACATACATACAGAATGTGGCGGGGTTACACATGTTAGCGGGATCCCAACCCTCCCCCTAACCTGGTACAGTGGTGTAACAGTACAACATAAGAACGAACTATAAAAATCAGTTGAAAGAGGCTTAACTCATCAGATGGATAAAAATACAAATACTGCAAATGCAAGTGGACGTGGACGTGGCCGGGTACTTGTACATCCAAACAACAAAAAGACATTAAGTCCAGATCTGAGAGTACTCGCAGTTACTGAAAGCTAGTTCAAAGCCACTAACAACTAATAAACAAATCATGCATCTAAAACTAAATTATCAATACGTACACATCCAACATCCAATGGATTTAGTGTAAAGACTTCATAAACAGTTAGAGAAAAACATGACCTTGTGCAATGCCAAGATACAGGTATCGACAGATTGTAGATCCATTATTATATTCCGACATTTTTAATATTCGCAGTTTTTTTCTTTGCATTAGATTTTCATACCATAATTAAACATAAGATACTATTAGGAAACATAAGAATGTTTGATATCAATGTAGAATTGAATGCAAATATAGACTTAAATTACCAGGGTTTATGGCTGAATAGTATGCACGATATCCATAATAACTTGTGCTGCCATCTGTATGGAAATATAATAACATCTTGTTTCCTGTTGACCTAGTAATTCCATCACCGGATATTGATCCACGTATATCAAGTAGAACATCTAGATTAATATTATCTCCATCGTAAACCTGTTTATATAAATCAATGGTATTATGATAAACTAACCTTCTGATGTTAAAAATTGTTTTCCAAGACAACCTTACATAAAATATACTAGGACTAGGTTTAAACAGTCTCAAAATTAAATTAAAAAGCAACGGTTCAGAGAACAATTGCGGGTATTTTTAATTCGCATGTTGATTACTAAAGTGTAAATGATTTTTATATACTGATATAGATATAGGAAGATGTGGTATAGTGCCAATGAGACAACTCTCCATCATGCCGAATTTAATCAGTACAAACAATTATTCCTAAAATGTTTATTCTTGCATAGATACTAAAATTAAGTAGTTTGTAGTTGTTTTCTTTTATAACAAGGGAGATGATCAGCTACTTCCAGTTTCGAAAAGTCACTTCTGGTATATACAGACAGCTTACTTTTCACTGATTAAAATAGAGATATTTCTATGTGTTTCACTTTGAAATAGGAGAGATAATTTTCTAACTCTGGTGTCAACTTGATTCGAAACATATATGGTTCTATGTACTTTTGCTAGAAATTAGTGGGATAATTTGCTTCTCCCGGTTTACAAAATCATCCTTTCAATTAATATGATAGTTTCCGTCGAACGTCCTCTATAGGAATATGGTTTCAATGTACTTTGACGTGACATTAGTGCAAAATAGTAACTTCTGGTTTACATAATGTCTCATTTGCTTGACATTTTCAAGGTCATATGCCTTCCATGTGTTCCTTTGTTTTTCCTTTTATAGTTGATGTGTTTCCCTCGGTTTTAGGTTGTAACCCGGATTTGTTTTCTCTCTATCGATTTAAGTCTTTTGAACAGCGGTATACTGCAGTTGCTTTTATTTTCCAACCCAATGCAAAAGACAAAATGGATGTATCATGTACCGGTTTGAAATTAAAGCAAAGGCCCAGAACGTCAAATAGACCTTTAACCTAGACTTTAATGTCAAGGTTATGGATTTCAAATCAAGAGATCACAGGTCTTTCAAATGTATGGTCAAGGAGTTATACTGATCTCCAATATATTAGGAGAGAGCACTTCTATCAAAAGTCACGCAAACACTTCGACTTAAATATATCAAATGTCGTATCCAATAATTTGACATAAACTTTTTTATCGCTTACTGTTACGGTTTCAAAGGAATACAAATGAACTCGACATCAATTTACTGTTGATGGACTACGGATAACATATCAAAAGACTATAGATATCTATGACCTACGATGTACGACTTAAATCGACATATCTCTGATGTTAAATGTGACAAAATACTCCCATTAGGTGTCATTGGGTCGTTTCGGTCAAAATTGGCCAGAGTATCCTTAGGATTAAACGAATAATTTTGAACAACAATTTTGTCATCATCTTCCAGTTACAGAAGAAATATGAGAACATGAAAAAGAGTTCACGTTGAGATAACTCCTATTATAATACGTGTTCCGTTACACAGGGTCAATGATGATACCGTAATCACTGTATTATGCCAACAAAATTTTCGGTATGTCGCAAAAGAAAAAGACATCTGGCGAAAGAAGAACAAAAATTAATCGGATCAAAATCAAAAGATCTTTTATAACATGAATATCATGTATATGATTAAAGAAGATTTACAAGTTTATATAAGCAATTAACAATTAAAAAAAGTCAATAAGGTTCTTTATTTGTGCTAATTATGGTTTCCCATATCTTTAAAATGATATTTTTCTCATTTGTAGGCGTTAAATACACTGTAATTTTTGCAACTAGTTTCTCGACTATGGAAATCTGTTAATAAATATTTTTCGTTTTCGAAATGTGAAATCGGAAATAACAAAGTTGATTTTATCAACATTTATTTTTTATCATATGTTGGGCTTTAAATGGTGTATCAACTTTCGTATTTCACTTATTTTGCAAATATGGAGGGAATTTAAAGAAGTATTGTTAGGTTAACTTATCAGCATTTCCCAGGAGTGTGCTTTACATGTTTTGAATTTCAATTTTTGATCTAATGAGATCACTTACAGACAAAGTAAACGAATACATCTTCGAAAATAATATACATAGGCAGTTGTTGAAGATCATCTATTATAAAGATTTCTTAAGCCAATACTTTTCTGTGTACAAAGCGTTGAAACGTTATATATCCAATGTTCATAGAGGAATGCTATTTCGCTAAATGTCGCGTGGGAATGCTAAACAAATCAATTATGTATTCTGCTAACAATATTTACATACAGCAACATGATACGATTTGTATTGTTTCTTTGTTTTGATGTGATCACATTTTTATCCAAGCCTAGATGCGCTGGTGTAAAAAAAGATAATACATGCATGTCATTTAATCTCTTCTTTTCTGTACGTACCGTTAAAAAATCACAGCACGATTCCGTGCAAAAATCATCAACAGTAAGCTGTATGATATACTGTGTAGAGACTGTTATATAATAATAACAGTCTACGTTATCAGGATAATTGTAAGGGTAATTTGGAGAGGTTAATGTTCCACTCACATCTGTATAGTACCCACCACATTCTGTGAAATAAAATACATATCTGAAACAAATTCAAACTGAGCCATTTTACCTTTAAAGAGATTTCTCGATTTGATTTTTTCAACTTTAACCATGTTTAGTTTGCTACTGTAAATAATGATTTAGATTAAATTGAAACTTTTCAAGTAAAATATGAAATATTGTAAAAAATAATCTTAATACCCTCGTCAATTTGGGTTCAGTGAAATGTTCGATCGCTGTCTCCTTGACATATACATTTATAACGATCATATTTCCTTCTATTCATATACTAGAAACTAAACATTTAAACAACAAAATATTTATAGATACATATAAAGAGATATTTGAGACAATTAACCAATATTACAGTTCAAACCGGACGCATAAAAAAGTAAGAAAAAAATAATAAAATAGGCAAGATGAACTATTCCATTTCTATTGAAAAACAAATCAGAACAAAACGACCTAATTAAAAGTTTAATTCAACACTATATTGCACTGAAAGCTAAACGTTAGCAGAACGAATTACATAATTTCGGAGTAAAATTATATAAAAAAGGCAGAAGATATCAAAGGGACAATCAAATAATACCATACATAGTGCAAAATTAATAATCTCACAGAGAATTTCACAATGCAATCCGTTAAAAACAATTCCTTATTTATATGCATTCAATATTCTAGAAGCTTATGAAAAGGGTGTGTTTATCCCTGTTAAACCAAAACTCTAAGCTATTTGTTTTCTTATGTTTCGTAAATGAAAACACTAATAAAAAGAAGATAATGATCTAGATGTTCTTATTTGCAAAGTAGACAACATCGCATAGCGGACTGGCACATGGCTTGGACAGATAATAATTAATGATTAAAAGTACGCACGCTCCCGTCTACCTTTTTTGTGATCCCTTCTGCCCATTGTGTACACCTCTCTGTCCTTAAAGTGATGTTCTATGAATTTTTATAAGAGAGAAAAAATATGTCAACTACTAGAAACAGATTTTTTATTCCACTTTTCAGACAAGAAACAACACTTACGTGCTCTTCATTTTAAAGTCGTCTATCCATGAAAAAAGAGTTTGTACACTGATGAAGTTTGACTGATATCAAGTTAGTGTTTTCATATTATTAAAGTGATAAAAGCATACAAAAACTAAAATTAGACATGTCTTCAGTTGATGACTGTATATCGCCGTCCATAGCTAGAAGTCTTTTTGTTGTGTTTGTTGTTGTGTTGTTACCCAATGACGTATACCCAACACCTCCCCTGTATTCATGTACCTGAACTCTGTGCCATGTAATGGGCTGTAAACCCGGAATCAGAAATTCCACCGTCAGAATGAAAATAAACCAGCATCTTATTAGTAGTTGATATGGCTGTCCTGTCATCTAGAATTGATCCTTCCAATTCTATGAGAGATTCTTCGTTTTTTGATATGCCATTATAAACCTGTTTTTATAAAAACACACATATATATATTGTTAAGTCATATTTATACATGGCACTAACGATTGCAATGAAGAATGACAAAACTAACCTAAAAAATGTTTGGAATTAACAAATTAATGACCAATTTCAACATTGAAACAGCCCTGGTTAAATATCGTAATGCAGTCTACTTGTCCTTGTAGCTTACATCAGAAATGGATCAATCAAATCAGTAAATGCTATAAATTTTAATACAGCTTAAGAATCGGTCCATGTCAGCTCTCCTTTTTTGCTTCAAATGCAATGCGAATTAACTGAACTTATTGTGGTTTGGAGAGAGTTTCGTTATAGCTGACTACACGGTATGGATTTTGAATAATGTTGAAAGCTGTATGGTGATCTTTAATCGTTTATCGCATCGTCATATGAACTCAAGAAGATAATTGTATCATTTCCAGTTCAACCTAATCTCCTTATTTTCTCTACTAAGTATGAACGTTCCTTCCGAAGATGTGACTTCATAAACTTCCTTTTGCATTTTATATATTCAATATCGTGTGTTTAAAACTTTCAAACATGTCAAGTCAATAGTATATTTGATATCGAATTAAAGGACAATAAACAAATACTTACTTTAACAAAAGCAAATCCACTATCCGTTTGAAAATTCTTAAAAATTATTCGAATCACAAATCCAGGTGTGACGGTGATATAGAAATAACAATTACTGTTAGTAGGGTAAGTGTCAGGGTAGTTTGGGGAATTGAAAGATCCAGCCATTTCGGTATGATATCCACCACAACCTTTGAAAAAAGATAGTTCAATTATATACGTGTATTCACAACACAGAAAAGAACGACCTCTCTTTGAAGTAATATGAATTCTAATAATATAGATGTATATGTTTAATGAGACTTTTTTTAATTGCTTCTTGTATATCGATAACAGTTTGTAAATGAGAAAGGGAAAATTTACCCAGGTTTAATTAATGAGTATATTCCAAACGGATTTCCTATTATAATGATAACTACAATGCACATCAAGTAACGGTTATATTTATTGTATAAACGTACTTTGACTTAACGTTATATACTGTGCATCGAATCCATAATCTGTAACGGTACCATCTGAGTGAAAATGGATCATCATTTTGTTTGTTGTTGACATTCCCACAGTACCTGCAGTAACATGTCCTCTTAAATCTACCAACAATTCTTGGTTTATTGTAGTTCCGTCATATACCTGTAAATATTTTTTTTTTAAATGATAAATATACATCATGAGCAGAATCTAAATAAAATTTGCATAAACGTTGTTGGTTGCTGTTACATTTTGCCTCTACTAGGTGGCTTATAGCACCGAAGCAGATAAAATTAGTATATAGTTTAGATTTTTGTTCATAACTTTACAAAAGATTCTCATACACTAGATCCACAGTTTGAATAGTGTATTCCAAGACTAAAGAATGTGCTGTTTTTAAGAACTGTAGCCAGTTATACGTAAGTATAGCAAGCATATGAGTATACAATGTACATGTAGCATCCCTTTTAAGTGATATTGCATAGGCGATAATGTGCTTTTTATTCTCAATACCATAAACAAACAACATTAATAGAAAAGACAAAATAGAAATGTAGTCAATGATTTTAGTCTTAAATGAATTGCAGTTGTACTTCTGTATATAAGTAAAAGTCAATAATATTTTTTTAAAAAGGCAATGAAAGAGATAAGATGTCCGATTGCCTTCAAGAACTGACTATTTTCTGAAATATCAATGCAGTCAGTCATGAATATATGAAAATTTAAGAAGAAAGAAATGCGGACGGCAAAGAGAACATAAATGCAAACTATCTAATAGAAAAACAATCCTACTCGTCGAATGAAACAATCACATCTTACCCTTTCCACCTATTTCACTGAATGCGGTTGAAGAAATATTGAGAAAGATATCATTCTGTTTTGCACTAATTTGGTTAAAGAAAAGAATTAATCATACATTATTTGTTCAAAGTATACCTTCAGATAGTCGCAACAGCTTTCGGTACGAAAATCTCTGATGATAAGTTCTATTATATATCCAGTAGCCACTGTGATATAGTAATAACAGTCAACTGTAAGAGGATAGTTGCTAGGATAGTTCGGTGAGATAAATGATCCTGTCATATCAGTGAAAGATCCACCACATCCTGTGTAAAAAAAAAGCTTTGTTACTGCGTGAACTAGATTAAGCCTAAGCCTTTAACATATTGAGGTCGAATTGAAAATTTGAAAAAAAAGTTCATTTTACTCTTCAATTTCCTTAAATATGAACAAATATGACAAAACACGGTCCCTTTTGTATGCAAACTTTTCAAGTTATCTTTTAATTCTGATATTACACAGATTTATCTTGAATATTGGTACGATGCTGCAAAATCTGTTCTTCGCATTTTCGTGAAGTAAAGATTTAAATGCTTTCTGTTTTATAAATTAATTAAAACTGAAATGTTGGTAATATATACCAAAAAAAAAAAATAAAATAAAAAAACGCCTTACATTATTATCTTATATAGACGAAAAATGCAACTTTAAGAGTTTTATTCTATAGCGTTGTAGAAACTGTATTTTTACCGTTTAATCTTATCTCCATTGATACAAAACGGTACGGATTCCTCAAATGTAAGAGATACAAATGATTTTATGTGTTGATTTAAATATATATAAGCTGCATTATACCCATATCAAACGTGCCCCATTTTCTTTTTTAAACTTCTTAACTGCAACATTCCTGTATAGGATTAATTCACAAAAACGTGTCGCTCGTACTACAGTAAGTTTCAAACGTTTATGTAAAATCTCATGAAAATCTATACAATTGCACTTTATTGTAACTTGAAAAAATAAAAATAGCTCTTTATAAATTTGTTAAGTCCGAGGAGCTCCTCTGGAGTCATCTTTACACGGAACGCTCATACCAGATTTACCACTTTTGCTTTTTTTTAGCTGTGTGGAGGATGTTGATTTCGGTTTAAATAAAACCCAATTTTTAGTCCGCTGCATGCAATATAAGGAAATTCGTGTCGAAACTCCTGGTGTGCTGTCGTAAATTCATTGGATGTGTCAGTTATTATTCTGCGGTTTACATGTTGTAATGTACTATTATATTATTTATTTATGTATTTCTCTGTGCTGAGTGTTCTTGCGTTTGTTTGTATTGTATTCCTTTCACGTAGTGTTGTCATTTTAGCTGTATATTTAACATTGCCATATAAGCGGTAGGTTTGGCTAGCCATAAAACCAGGTTCAACCCACCATTTGTTCTTAAAATGTCCTGTACCAAGTCAGGAATATGGCAGTTGTTATCGCACAGTCCGTTTCTATGTATGTTGGCGTTTGCTTTTGTTGTAGTTCAGTGTTTCTGTTGTTCCGCAGTTTTCCTCTTATAGTTGATATGTTTCTATTGGTTTAGTTTGTTACCCGAATTTGTATTTGCTTAATCGAATTATGACTATTGAACAGAGGTATACTACTGTTGCTTTTATATGCAGCACTCGTGTGTATTTGATATTGAGAAAACAGAAAACTCTCCTTAATTTCATATTAAACGTGGCTATATTATATTTCTTCTGACCGTTACAGTTGCTGCATTTTTCTACTTGTTTTAATTTGCAAGTAGAATGAGTTTTAATTAAAGTTTCTATGCTGTGTTTTGTGTACTATTTATTTGTTTTTGTGGTGTTTTTTTTGTGTTTATTTTTGCAATGAAATTGTCAGTTTGTTTTCGACTTATGAATATGAAGATCCCTTTGGCATCTCTTTTAATATTTAGTGTAAAATGTATTAATATAAAGGTGAAACAATCCAAATAACCTGTACTTAATGCAACATAAAAAGCCTCAAATCCAGATTCAGTTACACTTTCATCTGAGTGAAAATAAATCAACATTTTACTTCCAGTTGACCTAGCTGCACTGTCTCCTGGTACTGATCCTCGCAATTCTAACAAAGCTGATTCGTCGATCGTATTCCCATCGTATACCTTTTTGAAAAAAAAGTAATCAGCTGTTCAAACTAAATATATGTATAAAAAATATTTACAAATGTTCGTTGACCAAGAATCTCTCGATTTTGGTTTTTTCCAGAAGACTTGAACCTGTACATATGTTATTATCTATGTCATCTATCAAACGTTGACTTTTCGAAGGATAAGCAAACTAATTAAAAAATGTTTCCATTAAAAATAAATTGGAATTCAGACAAAATGTCACGACCGGGAACATGTGACTGGTTGCGTTTCAGCATATATTATTTGTTTTGTTTTTTGGAGAATGTTGTGCATTCTATGTTGATGGCAGATCTCTGATCGGCTCTGTTTTTGTAACCAGCTTCATGATAGAGGCAATTTTTAGCTGTTTATGTCAGCAGCTGTCTATTCTTACTGACTGCTTGTTGTCCTCCAATGTTTGTTTTGTCATAAGGCTGATATGTCATTTACATTAACCAACATATCATTTTCTTTAGTATTTGTATACTTTCACAATCTAAACCGATTAAAACATTCGTCATCTTTATTTCCAAAAGAGCAACCAAATGACAAAAAATGTCAATGCAAAGCGAGATGATAATTGGTAGAAAAGAATTCTGGCCCTTTAATCAAACCAATAAGTTAGGGCCGATAGTTTGTGTCGTTGGTTTCCTGTATCATAAACGGATACTACTCATATCTGATAGTTTACTAAGCAAAACAATTCATTTAAAGTATTGACTGAATGCGACTTTCGAATTTCTTACAATGTATATATGATGTTAAAGCTGATAACTATCTATAGAAATATTATTTCAAAACACATACCTTCAGATAATCACAACAACTTTCTGTTTGGAAATCCTTCACTATAAGGTTGATTGTATACCCAGCAGCGACTGTGATATAATGGTGACAGTCTGCCTTGTTAGGGTACTGACCTGGATATCGTGGAGAGTTGAAAGATCCGGTCATCTCAGTGTAGTATGCATCACATTCTATAATGAGAAGTGTTAACTTTGTAAATAAACACTTGAAACCTCTGCTTTCAATCATGCATATGAAGAAGATAATTTCCGTCAAATAACGTATACGAACTTCTATTGCTCTTATGCTGGTTCCCGAGTATTTTGGCACCTTTTTTGGTACGTGATAATATTTTTCATGGTTATGTATTGCTCTTAATCTCAATTCAGTTAAAATATTTTCTTATAAATTAGCGAAAAAGTAAAGTTCGAAATGCACATATTTCTTTCTGTAACTTTTTGTACGTTACATTTTCAAGCGACAACATTAAACGCCTTTACAAGCCAAACACTACATGGAAAAGAAACGGTTTTGTATAAAGGTTGCAAGACATTGATTCATATACATCTTGACCTTTCCGTTGTTTATATTATTAAGATGGGCAAACAAAGCAAACCTAATTCTAGTAAATCGTTAGGAAAAAAACGCAGATTATCACTTCGAATGTTAACCAGCTTTAAGTTAGCTCTTACCTATTTCTTCTGAACCCGGTAGTAATGCAAACGAGGCATCTAAGCTATCTGTAAAGGAATACACATACTTGATGTTAATACATACAGTACACCTTCCTGTATTTTTGTCACGCAATAAGTTCATCCTTTTCTGCTTTTACTGATGGGGAATGTTTTTACTTTAAATTTTGTTAAACTGTTAATCCGACTGTAAAGTCATAGGCAAAGTAAACATATTTGTGCGAAATAAAAGAATGTTCAAGTGTGACAAAAACAATTTTAACATGTAATGTACGTATTTTGTTTAATATGAACTTTATATTTCTGGAATTTTCTTAGTAAAACTATTTAGAAATAGGTTATGAATATTTATAGAAGCTTGCATTTCAGTAATATTCTATTTTTTCTGTGTGTATTTTCGAGCACCACTGACGAGAAATACGTTTTTGCAAATTCGTTTTCTGTTTAAACACATTATGTTGTTATTTTGTATTCTGTGCTAATTTTTGTAATAGCTATAACCAATTGCATACCTACTCATAACATAACTCTGAGCACGTTTTAAATAAGACCATGCAAATCGAACTAAACAATATTTTAAAAAAGTTAAGTACTGTTTGAATCAAACTACATGTAAAGTTAAAAAAATCATATGAATGAAATTAACCCTAACATACCCAATTGTGAATGTTCCGAACCATTTCGAGGTGCACAGATCACAGCTGAACTACAAAGTATCACAACCAAGAAAGTGAGCATCGTTCCTGGTTGTAACTGTAATGAATTGAAATTAGAATTGACTTAGAAATCTGAAAATTGAACAACAAAAATGAATGGATAGCATTTCTGGAAAATCCCAAGAACTCATCTGAGTGTTTTTTTTTTTCTTATTTATTCACTCAAAAGCACTCAATGAGATTGATGTCTAAGTGTATTCGAAGTTTGCTTACGGCAATGCAAACCTGGAACTGATTAAAAAAACACATATGTACTAATGTGGATTCATTATTATTCCTTCGGTACCAATTTCCGTTGAAATTATAGGTAAAGGTTAACCACGAATTTAAATTGTGAACGAAAAACAAGTTTCCGAAAGGCTTGTATGCATAATTTGTGAAAAACACAATTTCAAGTTTCATCAAATTGCAAATCTTCCTAAATCAATAGTGTTTATCAATATATTCCGTTGCCTTGGATATATTTCGTTTCCTTAGAATATTTATTGTGATACAATTTTACAACAAATAAAATATTAACCCTTAAGTCTTTTTTGCCACTAAGAATTACATTATTGTACGATCGAAATATATAATTGTTTAGACATGCAATTTCACAGATATTGTGTGTGAGTGTTATATGCCTTTGTGGTATCATGTTTTACTGTTACTTTAAATCAAAATAATTTGAATGCATCGTTAGCAATAGTTCTTACCTCTTTCAGTTCACAAGGACTGGTAAAAGATTTCAAATAAGAGATGATGGTCACCTTTCTAAATGATTTTAATGGAACTGTTTTTGGTCGCTTTGATATTTATATTAAGTGAAACGCTATAGGCATCTATCTTATTACTTATGCTAAATAATTTTGTATACGATTATTCTCTATTGGTTATTGTTTAGTGTGTTTGTTCTGTAATAATTGTCTTGTTATTAATCTGCCCTTCAATGAACACTTTGATTGGCTGATAAATCTGTATCTGTAAACTTTATTATTGACCTGTGTGGGAAAATGGAATTCATTTGAAACAAGAATTGTTATTCTAACATCGCAATAAGTTGTTTTGTTAACATTTAAACTCATTGTTACAAATACATATAATTGTATCATAAACAATTCGTGTTATATAACTACATACATGCAATTATTTATTGTGTTCAAAACCATTGCCTTTTAAGGCTGTATATTAATAAATTAAATCAGCATAATTAATACAATAATTTGTGTAACTTAATTTTTTAATTAAGATGTACTTGATATGTTTACTTCAATATCGAATTATTCTGCGTTGTAAATTTTATTTTGATAAAAATTCCTTTCAAACAAATACTCTTCGTTGATATAATTTTCGAATAGAATACAATTGATATTATTTATAGAATTCGAATAATTAACTTGTTTCACAAACGTTCTTGACCTACAAATATGAATATAAAAATAATCAAGAAAATCACAATTATGCGAAGAAGAAAACATTTGAGGTAAAATTTGCTACCGAATGACTACACATGACACACGTTTCTGGGCCAAATTTACAAAGCAAGATCGTCCGAACTTTCCAAAAGTCTTGTGTTTAACGGATTACGGACTTGACGAAATTTGGTCCTTGCTTGGTGGCTTTTAAATCCAACAACATGCATATTAAACGTTTGGGAGAACCGTGAAAACCATATAAGAGTAATGTTTTCCTGAAAGAATTGCAGCTTATGAATTAGTTTCAGTACGATTTCTCTATTTATGAACTAAATAGTTGCATTTTACCCGCAAGTTAAAAAATACCAATGTGATTTCTATCAAAAAGTAAATCAACAAAAATACCGAACTCCAAGGAAAATTCCGAACGGAAAGTCCCTTAACAAATGGCAAAATTGAAAGCATCAAACGAATGAAAAACAACTGTCATATTCCTGACTTGGTACACACATTTCCTTATGTAGAAAATGAAAAGACAGTAAGCGGCTGTCATTCAACGATATGGTAACATATTTTCACAAAATCGTCTTCTTTGGTACCACTAGGCCAGTCAAAATCGAAATCATTCCTAACAAACCTTATGATATTTCCTTTCAAACTTTAGAACAACGGTCTTTTATTGATTATTGAAGGCTGAACAGTGCTCTCAAGCGTTTTACAACCCCTCTTTTTGGTCTGTCGTTGATAGATATCTCATTGTTAAACAGCAAAAACACAATCTAAAATACAACAAACAAATCCCGTATTGTTACTTCGGACATAAGGCATAGTATCTCCTTATGCTTTATCTCAAAGTCTACCTTCTACTTCTATAAAATTTAATGAGGTTATATGCCTATATTTTATCCTTGTGTGAAAACTTTAACTTTAATATACAATCTTCGATATAGTTATATGCAATCATAAAACTTTGGACATGACATATTATAAAGCGCATATTATATTTGTAGAAAATTGGAACAAAGGTGTTTAGCAATAATAGTTTAACGTTCCATTTTAATAGGAAATATGGTCTTTACCAATAGCAGGCATTATGGTAAAATGGGAACAAACATGACAAAATGAACTTTAGATGATAAATATCTTATAAAGTCTTAAAATATGTAACGGTCAAGTTAATTCAAAAGTGTAGATTACAGATGAGTTTGTAATTGTATTTTCCTGAACTTGATGGCCAGATATTAAATATTCTTATCTATATGGTTCATTTATTTTTACACGCGTTCTCACAATATCTACTAACAAAATATGGTTCAAGACCAAAATTTCACTTTTTAAAATATAAAATCAAATATACCAGCGTTTTAAGTTTTCCATCTTTTGTTCATTCAATTTTTGTATGTTCTATGTATTCACTTAAACATTGATACTGCTTTTATAATTTCGTTGCGATGTAAAAGCGTCGACCGAAGCATATTTTGTATGAAGCGCGGAAGCACTTCATTCTAACAATTTGCAAACAATAAACGCTTTATTTTTCTATGCATTGTTTAAATATTGTCACGGATAGCACTTTCCTTCATAGCTGTTGTGCTTGATACAGAAATTATCTATGATATTGGAGGGCCTCGCGTTTGTTGTCAGCCAATCACAAAATGAAACAACCATTTAATTTAATTATATGACATTAAGGGAGTTCTGTTAATAAATAAAGTTTGCCTTGTTGTAAGTATACTGCTATACACTTTTTTCAATATGTGTTTACTTTTGTCTTTCAAATCGTGAAGGGTTCGCAAAGCTATTGAACTCTTTTGACTAAATTTGACAAAAGATGTGCGGCAGATTACTGAAAGGCAACTGCAATTGTAATATTCTAAGACAAAATACAAAGACCGTCTATTTCCAAAGCTCTTTATTTGAATTTTAAATATTTGGCGTCATTATAAATAAAGATAACAGATCAAATCTAAGACAGGGATGAGAAAATATGGTAAAACGTTGGCAGCTAAATGACAAAATAAAAACGTTAAAAATTAGGCAGTTGTAATCTAGGTTTATTAATATTTCAAAATTAATAAACTGGTAACTTTTTAAAGAATATTCCATATATAATGCCAGTACCGACACAAACTAAATTCCTTAGCTAATAATACCTTCGGGGATTAACAATCCATCAGCTTTGATATCACACCAGTGCTAGTAAATGAAAAAAAAATACGCTTGATCAATTTAATGCCTCGTAAGAGTTTTTCTGAATTTATCTTCACTAGAAGTTGTTAACCGATGTTCCATCTAATAAATCAATTAGAAACACAAGACAAGGTAACAAACAAAATTTTGGGTAATCACATATATTAACCCCAAAAGAGAGCGAGACCGGGTGGTTCGGAAGAGTAAGTCTCCTGCTAGGCTTGCATCAACCGTCATTGGAAACTACACTCAGTGAAAAAGTCACATTCGGGGAAACGAAACAATCGTTAAAATCACCGTGTCTAGTATCTAAAAAACGAAGACTTTAAAAACATAATGAGTTAGAGTGGCTTTTATGTATTGATAACAATACCGCAGTTTTCTACTAATATTCAGTCAGTTCTTTGTTATGAATAACTAATTTGAATTTAATCGTACTTGGAAGCAATTATTGCAGGGCACGACAAACTTGATAAATATTAACAATCAGCTGTTCTTTGAACTTACTAGTGGTTTAAACATAGTAAACGATTTTACGATGTTTACAATTTTTCGTTACTTTTAAATACAAGATGATTTTAATAGGCCAATAACTCTTTAAGCAACGATTGTCGCCATATATAAGATAATAATAAGTAACGTGACATAAACATCATATGAATATCAAGTAATAAGATAAGATTAAGCAAAAATTTCCCTTTCAAATCAAACAAATATTGACAATGTGAAGGCATGTCATAGGGTGGCAAAAAATTAAGACAAGGTTAACTGTCCGACATCTGTATTGTACATTATTAAACGAAATAATGTATAAATAGGCATGTAAACGGGAGTTGATACTAATAATCAAATATAGATTAAAGTGTTGTTAACTCAGATGACTGTTGATAGGCCTTTTGAAATTATTCAAATTAACAAGTGATTAAAATCCCCTATCCCCGGCCATGTGTGGCCTTTGTCACCCTTTTTTGAAATTATGGTTCGTTATGTTCTTCAACGTCCTTTTTGATGTGAAGTTCCGAATGTTTTGACTGGAGCGCCATCGATGAGTATTGTATAGACGAAACGCACGTCTGGCGAGCATGATATCTTGTAAAGAATATTAAGTACATTATGTCAGTACCGACGCAATCCCGTTTGATGAGTTTCGGTTTTAAACAAAATTAGATGGCTTTCGAATAAATTATGCAGAACTCTATCTCACTGTAAACTGCTTAAGTAACAGTTATTTTCTTGCATTCAGTGTCAAATATTTCAGCCTCATCATTATTTCTATGTAGCAAAGGTTAATTCACAGAAGCCTATTTTGTTGCAAAACTTATCCAGTAGTTGATCCAGGAAGTTTGCAAAGACGAATGGTCAAATGCAATTAGGGGAGGGATTAAGGACGAAAGATTAATCAAAGAGGGACGAAAAATACCAGAGGGACAGTCAAACTCATAGATAGAAAACAAACTGACAACGCCATGGCCAAAAATAAAAAGACAAACAGACAAATAATAGTACAGATGACACAACATAGAAAACTAAAGACTAAGCAACGGATCCTGCTCTACATGTGGCACCCGTCGTGTTGCTTATGTTATTACAAATCCGGTAAATAGTCTAATTCGGTAAGTCACATTCGTGAAAAGGGAAGGGTATTGTAGTTACGACATAAGGAACATATCCGATATAATCTGTGAAACGGATATTCCATAACGGTCAACCAACTCGTGATGGCGTCCGTAAAATTTACGAAGGGATGATTTCAAATTCACCATTTGGAACTCTTGTTATCAATTACACAACATTCGGGACTGCGATCAAATCTGTTTAGAGATACATTTTCTTACTAGTATTTCTGAAGTATATGACATCTTTTCAATCATTTATGTCTTGATATTAAGTATTATTTGATAGATACAAATAAAGAGATATTGATTAAAAGTCAGACGGGTCAGCAACCCAACACAATACATTAAAATCAGAGATATCCACTAAATGTGCGATATCGACTTTTGTCTATCAGAAACAAAACTTGGCTTGCTGGACTTCGGAAATTGAAATAAAGTGAATACTTGCCAAACCTCAAACACTTTGATAGAACTTGATATTAAAGTGCATCTCAATAGTATATTCAATTGTTGTAATGAAACCATTGCTGATGACAAGTTAAATGACAAAAC